CGCGCGCCGAGACTTCCGCCGATGCGACGCGCGGAATCCCCACGCGGCCTGATTTTACAGACCCCCCCACCCACTCCACTCCCTGCGCGGCGGTCGCGTTGCGATGCCTTGTGTGGCGTCGTGCGACGTTCGTCGCTCGTCGTCCGTAATTCGTCGCCGTTCGTCGACAGTCGTCGTCCTGGTCACCATTGGTTTTTCGTCGTTTGTCGTTCGTTGCTCGTCGTCGCCGACCTCATCGTCGTCGTTCGCCAGTCGTGATTCCTGGTTCGTCGCTTGTCGCCCGTGTGTATGTAGTCGTTTGTCGTTGGTGCTTCGCCGCCGTCGTCGTTCGCCTGTAGTCGCGCAGCGATACATCCGCGGGAAGGCGCGACGCATGCCTCCCTTTTTAAAGGAATGGGCAGCGGGGGGGGGGGAGGGCAAAGCGAGGAGGGAGCCCATTCTCGGGCGCAGCCGAGGCATTGTGGGGGGGCTGGGACACGAGCGCCGCAAGCGCGCACCAACGCATCCCATGCCCAACAATCCAAGTCTGGGGGTGGGATGCGTGCCCGCGCTCCTTTCCAACATCCTCTTGCCCCCTCTCGGGGGTTCGGGGCGGGCTGAGTGGCGGAAGTGGCTCTCGCGGACACGACGCCCACTCCGACGTTCGATGCTGGCGAACCTCCCGCCCCCCCGCCCTCGTCAGCATCAGGGGCGCGCGGGCAATCGCGCACCGCGCTCCTCGCAGCGCGCAAGCGCGTGAGCTCGGCGCTCGGCCAGCCCAAGGCCCGCACGCGGCAGCCTCCCGAGAGGCGCATCCGCTTCCGCGTGCCCTGGGGGCCCCTGCCCGCACGGAGGCCGGACGGCCGCGCGCTCGGGCAGCGGCTCTGCGGAGGCGAGCGGCGTTCTCACGTGCTGTGCGGGTGTGTTTGCCCTGGGCTCAGTCGCGCCGCAGCCGGCATCGGCTGGGCGGCGGCACGTAAACACCCGATGACTCTCATGTGGGGTCCTTCGGGATGGGGGCCTGGAGATAGGAAGGGTTCCAAGTTTGGATTTGCGCTGTTCGAAGCACCTCGTCCTTAGGACCCCATCTTTGACCCGCCAAGCAAACACGTATCCACAAGCGTTGCCCTGCACATCCGCCATCGTAGGCAAAGGGCGTTCGTGGGGGCGGGCTGGGAGAAAGAGATGTCGCGGAATGCCCCGCCAGGGATTGAACGTGTTGGCTTCGCTTTCGCATGGCAGGCCGAACGCACATAGGTTGGGAACAACAATGTGACGCATGTTGATCCTGATGCGTTCGGCGCCAGAGCTACTCCTTCGCTGGGAGCGAAGGTACCGACAACAACGGGATTCGTCACACCAGACATTGCAAAGCAGTACGGCAAGTTTTGGACGCCAGCCTCCAATACCTCCATCCCACCCCTCCCATACGTCAGCTTTGAGAAAGCGCGGGGGCGGGTTGGGGGCGAGGGGGGGCACCAGCGGAGGAGGGGAACGCACGCAAACATATGCAAACATGCATACATAGACGTGCATGGAGATGTCAAGCCCACGCCCTGATCCAATGCTAACCCGAATCGCGCCTCTGGCAACGACGGCGTTGGATTCGAACCCCGCGGTTCCCGTTTTTCGGGCACGGTACACCTCACGCGCTACACGCTGGGAGTCGAGGCTGGTAGAACCAGAGCTCGCGCGCGACTCGCGAGAGGTGTCCCGCCCCGCCTCCCTGCTGCCGCGCCTTGGCCCTCCCTCCCGCTCCCCACCCCATCCTCGCCCTCACGCCTCCTCCCCCCATGCTCCTCTCTACTCCACCCTCCTCCTGCCCCAACGCTGTGCCTCCTCCTCCTCCTCCTCCTACCCGTCCTCCTTCTCCGTGCGCTTCCAGCGTAGCTTCATCAGGCCAACACTTGCAGGTTTCGTTTGTTCGTTCCTCCCACTCCTCCTCCCTTCTCGTCCCCCCGCGTTTGACTTCTCCATCTGGCCAGTGGTGAGCTGAGGAAGGGGAAGGCGGGGAGACTTCGACGCGAGGGTGCCCTTGTGGCCCCCTCAGGCGACAGAGCCGACGGAGGCGTGCGTCGTCGAGTGCCAGGAGAGCGGGCCGCCCCGCTGCGAGGCGGGAGCGGAGGCGAGGGGAGGCGAAGAGCGGGAGGGAATGGCAAGGGTGTGTGTGTGGGGGAGGGGGCGGAACGGATCGGGCCAGACGAAAGGGGGGGATTGGGAAAGGAGGGGTTACGAAATCTGCTGCATGCAGCTGGTTTCGGCCCCATGGAGAGGCCCATTCCTCGATACATGGCCGCCTCCCGGCGCCGGGAGGCGCCGGGAAGATCAGCTACGTGAGCTGATTATCAACCCCCCCTTCGCTATCCCCCCCTTTCGCCTGGCCCGAGAGGGGAACGCGAGGCGAGGGACAGCGAAGAGGGGGAGGGAGCGGCGAGGGTGGCGCAGGAGGGGAGGCCAGCGGTGGCAGCGGGGGAGGGGGGAGCGGGAGCGAACTGAGCGAACTGAGCGAATGTGTGTGTGT